CCAAAGATGGAGGCTGCTCTTATGGATGAGGAGCCTGGAGTCCAGAGGGGCACTTTCTCACTGGCCCCCTCTAGTCCCAGCCTGACTGTGTCTCCAGCCCTGTGTTCTGACCACCCCTGGGCAGGGCCAGGCGGGGAGCCATGCAACAGTTCTCTCTGGGATCCTCTTCGGACCCTGGGGCTGGCTGAGCACACATACCGATTTCCTAATGAGGCTGAGGGGAATTGGCCTTGGATGTTGGAGGCCCTTGGCCATTTGGCAACAGCATGTTGCTTGACTTCCTGTGATCCTCCCTCGGGCTGGAGGAGGCCCAGCCTGCTAGAGCCGATGTTATAACAGAGGTGAAGCTCTTCAGAGGGGAAGAAGTAAGAGCAACACTCTCTCCCGGTTCCCCCTTGGGAGAGCAATTCTGCTTTCCGTTTTGCATTCCCAGACTTTAGCTCTTTGCAGAAACTATCCCTTGCACAAAGCCAATGGCTTCAGTGTGAGAAGCGAGGCTTCTACCAGCCCTACACCCAGGTGGGCTGCCACCCCAGGGCCAAGATCACCTCCTTCTGGAAGCCTTGCAAGATTGTCAGCTCAGGTTGCACTTGCCCTTCTCAGGCTCCAAACACTTACAGTCTGGAATTTATGCTCTGGATTCTGACCCTTCTTTCATTTGTTTACCATTAAATATATCTTGTGATCTGCTCTGGGGACTGCAGAAAGTACAGCAGTGGCAAAACTACCGTGAGGAGGATCTGCCCACATTCTCCCCGGAGCAGGGTACCCAAAGGGGCCCTTTTATGAGGCCGAAGCTCAAGAGACAGACACATTTTTAGCATGACAAGGTAGGGGAGACACCCTCCCAAGGGGTTATCCACACGGTGCAGTGTCTGATTGCCTTTTAGATTCTGCACCTTGAGGTTGGATCTCCATGAAGGACCTGTGCTTGAGGATCCAGTGGGGACAAACGAGGAAGCTGAGGTCCGGCCAGGTTAGGCTACCGGCTCAAACTCACGCATCAAGCAGGTGGCGGGTGAGCTGGGACTCAGGCCCAGGCCTATAAGTTTCCCAGCCCATGCTCTTGATTGCTTTGCTGTGTGGGAAGTGGTCACTGCTCACAGCACCACAAAAGGAGTCGATGTGAGCCATGGATTCCCCTCTCTCTCACATGTATCCAGCCCAAACCCAAAGTTCGGAGGACAGAGAGCTCCGTTTGTGGTGCCCCTGGTGTGTTTTCCTGGGGGCTCCAGGACTCTCCAGCCAGTTAGTGATGAAGGCTGAATTAAGACTAGGCACTGAGCAACTTCTCCGTACAAATTGGTTCACACTTTACCTCATTTAATCCCCAGAACACACCACATAATGGGCACTGTTTCCCCATATTTAAATAAAGATAAATTTCAGAAGGGTCGAGGAGCTTGATCAGAGTTACACAGAGTGGATAGCCTAGCTGGAACAATAGAGCCAGGTCCACCAGCTCCAAACCCAATGCACTTTCCTCTGGTAAAAGTCAACATCCTAAGGACCACAGAGTAGAAAGATGGAAAAAACCAGCCCCTGAATTCACCAACTCTTGATCGATCCACCTTGGAATTCCTGCAGAGATACTGTATTTTCCTTATGCTTTCAGCCATGTTGAGCTGGGATAGCAGAAGAGAGTGTGCACGGATGATGGACATATTCTAATCCTTAATGTGGTCCTGCTTACCTATAGTTACACATGTATGAAAATTCATAGAACTAGAAGAAACTCTAGGAAGTAAATATGGCATAATGTTAAGATTTTACAAACCTGGGTAGTCTATTCCTATGTATATGTTTGAACTATCTTACAATAATAAGAAAAAGACCAAAAAATAAAAAATAAAAAAAGAGGAGGAAGAGGAGCAGAGGAGGAAGAGGCATTGGAGGAAGCTTGCTTAGTTGTGATGGCTGGAGCTGCTGCAGCCATCTTACAGCCATGAAAGAAGTCAGTGTGAGAATAAATCTGAGACACTAGGTTAACAGAGTGGAGAGATGGAGAAATGGTAAATGTCTGCTAGCTGCTGAAACAGCCAGAACTTTAACCTGCCCTCTCTCTTTGGATTTCTCTGAGATAACGTGCTTATTGTTGAAGCCAATGTAAATTGGGGATTTCTGTTACTTGGGTTGAAAACATTGTCACTCATACAGAGTAGAGAGTCAGATCTGAAGCAGTGGGGCACCTCCCTGGCCAGTGGCAGCACTGAAAAGGAGGCTGGAGGGTCACTGATGGACTCATCTGGATTTGGCTGGCCATGAGCCACCAGAGGGAAACATGGGGAGGTGGCTTATTCAGAAACTTGACAGTTGGTTTCAAGATTTCGTTTTTGTGGCAATGTAAGTCATAGTCACATGAGTTCCACCGTAATGCTCCTTTCCTGTCTGATACCCTCACAGATGCAACCCCTGTCTGGGCCAGGGGACTCAGGAATTTGGGGCAGCTCGAACTGCAAATGTTCAAAACTATGTAAGATAATCTAATTTTGGGGGGGCCCTGGGTGGCTCAGTGGGTTAAGCGTCTGCCTTCAGCTCAGGTCATGGTCCTGGGGTCCTGGGTTCAAGCCCGGCATGACATCGGGCTCCCTGCTCAGCGGGGAGCCTGCTTCTCCCTCTGCCCCTCCCCCTGTTCGTGCTTTCCCTCTCTCTCTCTCTCTTTCTCTCAAATAAATAAATAAATAAAGTCTTTTTTAAAAATCTAATTTTTTGACAAATCATCCACCTATGTGCTTTGGCTGTTGCTTAGAGCCATCTTCCTTGTACAGACGCAGACATCTGACTCAGGGGGCCCAGGAAAGTAGAGCTAGGGTGAGGACCCAGGGTGACAAGTCTTCCTCGGAGCTGCCCCAAGTAAGGGGAAGAAGTCTTGTCTCCATGAAAGGCGGTGTGACCTTGACAGGGACATAATGGCTCAGTTTCCTCAACTCCAAAATGGAGAATAATCACCCCTCCCTCTCATGCCTCCCTCGAGGGTTGTTTTTAGGCCTGGAGATAATATATGTAAAGCGTTTGGCACACAGTAGATGTTCTGTACGGGGCCACTGTTTTCATTCTTAAACAAGCCAGAAGGATTTTTGTTGTGGATGGGGGCAGGAAGGGAGAGCCTTTTAGAACCTGGCAAAGAGAAGGAAGAAAAACAAAACAAAAACTAAAAAACTCTGGTCTTACATCCTCCCTGCTCAGCGGGCTTCATTAGACTTTCATAAAATCAGAGTCGGGGACACAGGGCGCCAGGGGGCTGATGGGGACTCAGCAAGAGAGAAGCCGGCCTCCCCCTCCGCAGCCCCACCCCTTCTCTCATCACCATGGAGACCGAGCTGGCTGCCCGGCGGGGTTCCCGCGCACCCAAGGCCTAAGGCTGCCTGCAAAGGGAAGGGCAGGGGCCGAGCAGAGGCCCGAGCAGAAAGCGCGAGTGGGGGTGGGGAGTGTCTACATCCTCCCCCCCACCCCCCACCCCCACCCCCGGAGGCGCTGAAGGACTCAGGCTGAAGTGGGACGCTCCCGGCGGTCTGGGGTCTGCGTTTGAGTCGCAGCTCTGCTAGCGGCTAGCTGCGTGACTGTAGGAAGAACATTTCCCCTCTCCAAGCCGCAGGTTCCACATCTGTCAAAGGAAGGGGTAAAAAGGAGCAAAAACAAAAGCTTGGTGAAGAAAACTGTGGGATGAGGAAACAATGATATATGGTGCTGGGGGAGAACATTCACTACATACTGGTTACTGAAAAAGGGGAACTTGACAAAACTGTGATGCCATTTTTCTTTGTTAAAAAAAACCACACTCTATCTATGCTTACCAAAACTGGGGGAAGGGATACTCTAAAAAACACAAAACACCTCTGCTTGTCTCTAGAACCGGGGATCGCATGCAGTTTTTATTCTCTTGGTTCTTTCTCACATTTTGGCTGATGAACATGGATTACTTTTAAAGTCAGAGAGACGTTAATAGCTACCATTTCTGTGCTTATTATGCGGGGGGGGGGGGGTGGGCATTGTACTTAAGTGCTTTACATGGCTTAAAGCCCCTTCTGTCTTCACAGAAATCCAAGGAGGGAGGGTACTCTGATTATCCCCTCTTTACAGAAGAGGAAATTGAGTTTCAGAGAGGTTAAGGGGCTTGACCAAGGTCAAACCACCAGAGAGTGGCAGAGCTGAGATTTAAAACCACAGCTAAGATAATGGACTCCAAAATTCAAGCATTTAATTATTACCACTACTGTCTCTTAGGACAAGAAAATGCTAAAGGGCCTGTTATTTAAAATGTTTTACTGTGGAAAATATCAAAGATATCAAAAGTGGAAAGAAAAATATAACTTCCAGTTATAAAGTGAATAAGTCCTTGGGATCTAATGTACAGCATGATAAATATAGTTAAGAATACTATATTGTAAACTTGGGATTTGCTAAGTGAGTAGATTAAATGTCCTCCCCACCCCCCACACAAAAATGATAGCTGTGTGAGGTGATGGATGTGTTAATTAGCTTGGTCGTGGCAATCATCACGTTGTACACTGTAAATGTATACAATTTTATGTGTCCATTATACCTCAGTATGGGGAAAAAAAGAAAAATGTAATAAATCCTGATGTACCCACGACCCAGCTTCAATGAAGCTCTTAGGCGGAAGGATTTGGGGGGGGCTCAGAGAGGGGCATGGGGATGCTTAGGGAGGAGAATGATGCCCAGAGCTAGAAGTCTCATCCTATTATATACACACATCCCACACACACATCCCACACATTGCACACATAACCCCCCACACCACCACCACCCCCATACACACACATCCCACACTCGACCCCCCCATACACACCACACACACACACATACACGCACATAGACACACACACACGCACACTCACACATACATGTGCACACACACAGACACACACCCCCACACACAGTGCCCCCCCCAACTCCCAGGCTCCCCTTCTGGCTGCCTCTGGGGCTCCAGCAGTCCTCCCCCTCTCCCGCCCCCACCCAGTTTCCTTCCTCCTTTCTACATCCAACTGGCTTGCGTTTCCCCAGCCAGCTCCTTTATAGATCCCTGGCTCCCCTCCAAGGCCTCCAGGCTTTGGCAGCGTCGGAGAACGAAGACATGGCCAGAGAACCTGACAGTGCGCTGAGATGGGCAGCCCTATTGGTCCTCGCCACCCTGGGCACAGCTGTGATGGCGGCCACCAACCCCGGTGTCGTGGCCAGGATCACCCAGAAAGGCCTGGACTACGGTAATCAGATGACTTTCCTTCCCCCCTCTTCCACCCCTAAAGAGCACTTACTGAGCACCTGCTGTGTGCAGCCCTTTAAATCCAGTGCATAGCCTGCTCACTGCTCCTCAAAGGAGGCCTCTTACTCCCATCATATAGATGAAGAAACTGAGACTAGGTGAGTTGCCCAAGGTCACAGGGCTGCAAAGTGGCAGTGCTGGGATCAGAGTGCTGGTCTGGAGGACTCCAAGTCCAGTGCTCAGGCCCCCGAGGGTCCTCGCGGTCCCCTCCGTCTCTTTACCCAGCTGCCAACTCAGGCTTCTAGGCCCTTCTCTTCCCTCCAGAGCTGGTTCTCAGTCTTATCATTTGCCTTGAGATCCCTGGCTCAGTCTCCAGTGTGGGCAGAGCCCAGGCCCTGTGAGGCAGCTGAGTGATGAGGAAGGGGAGGATGAGGAGGGCCTTCTTCAAGGTCTCCCCCAGGGTAGGGGCTTGGCACAGCCATACTGTGCACATGACCCATCTGGATGCCCCAGAGAGGCTCCCTCCAGGCCACTCACCCAGGCCCAGACCTAGGAAAGCTTGGCCTGGAACAGCCCCATGCTGACCCGCTCAGATCTGTGTCAGGTGCTTTACACACCCCATCTCCTTGCATCTTTATGTCAACCCTGGGTGGGACATATTGTTAACTAGCAACAATTCACAGATGAGCAAACTGAAGCTTGGAGGAGGGACTGGGAAGTGGGTGGTCAGGAGGTGACCTCCAGTCTTGGATCATGTCCCCACGTCGGGCTGCTTGATGTTGTCTCCAGGGGCGGAGAGCCAGCCACCAAGAAATCCGACCAGGAAAAGGCAGAGAGAGCCTCATCAGCTGGTATGCCACCGAGGGAGTCAGGACAGCACTAGGGGGTGCTGGGCAGGCCACCTCTGAATCCCAGGGGGTGCAGACAGAGGCTCCATGTGAGCTGGGAGACAAGAGGATGGGTAGCCTGAAGGCTTCCCGGGAGCAGAGGCCTGAGCTTGGCCTTTAAACCCAGCAATGTTCGTGTTCTGTCACAGCAGCCCCAATCTCCCCATGTGGCAGCCAGAGTGGGTCTCCTGAAATGCAGCACTTCTGCTCACGTCCCTGCCCTCAGAAGATCACCTGACCCTTTGGCTGGCATTTGAGACCTTTCAAGACCTGGCCCCAGCTGACCCACAGGTCCTGGCCATCCCACATTTTCTTTCCCCTCCTGTCAGTGACTGTGTCTGCGCTGTTTACTTTTGAATCCCCGGGAGACCTGCTCCAGTGCCTGGGCTCCGGGACCACAAGGCCTGGATTCAAACCCTGATCCATTCTTCATCAGCTGTGTGGCCACTTTCCCAAATTTCAGCTTCCTCCTCTGTGAATTGGCGGTGGTAACAGAACCTGCCTCCTGGGGTTACTGAGATTCAATAGCTTCATACATGTACAGAGCCCACAACCATGCCTGGCACACGTAAGCGGTGGTGGTCATTTCCTAACTAGCTGTTGGAAGACACAAAGCCTGGGATCCCTCTTCTTACTACTTCCTCTTTCTCAAGTGACATGTTTGCCTTTACTTGTTCTTGGATGCTGCTAGCCACGTAATAACTGATGGCAGGATTCCTGACATTGGCATTCATTCATTCATTTATTCGTTCAACAAATACTAAGTGCCTTCCAGTAGTAAGTGCCAATCACTGTGGTAAATGTAGGGGCCACTTTCATAAATAAAGCAGATGTTCCTGCTGCAAGCCTTAGAGGGCTCGTATCGGGCAGCGGGGAGAGATAGTCACCACAAAGTCACGTGAAGAGAGGTACACTTACCAACAGTCACAGGGGCTCCAAAGGAGATGCATTATGAGAATGATGACCAGGCGGATTGCTCTTGTCTGCTGGTTCAGAGCAGGTTCCTGGGGGAAGTGATGATAGAGCGGACGAGAAGTTGACAAGGTGAAGGTGGGAGGGGAGGGTCTTGTAGGTAGCAGGAATGGCCCAAGCAGAGGTTCGAGTCCTGGCAGAGTCACAAAAAAAAAAAAAAAAAAAGGATGGCACAAGCAAAGATCCTGCGGAGAGTGAGGCCAAAAGTCAAAGAGATGAGGGCATAGCGCCAAGGGAGGTGCAGAGACAGTGTTCCAGAAAGACTCATAGGACACATGACTGGGTGTTTAAGGTGATATTTTAGACCAAGGATTGGCAAAAGGCAGTCCTCAGGCCAAATCTGTACCGCCACGTGTTTTTGTATGGCCTGTTGAACTAAGAATGGCATTTACATCTTACATTTTTAAATGGTTGAAAAAAAAATCAAAAGAATAATATGTCACGACATGTGCAAGTTATATGAAATTCAGATTTCAGTGTCCCATCAATAAAGTTTTACTGGAACACAGCCACACCCATCCATTTACATATTGTCTGTGGTTGCTTTCCGGCAATCACAGCAGAGCGGAGTGGGTGTGACAAAGACAGTATGAGCCACAAAGCCAAAGATATTTGCTATCTGAGCCTTTACAGAAAACCCTCACTGACCCCTGGTATGGACAGGGACAGGCGGAGCCTCTGACCATCACCCCTGTTCTCGCCCTTCAGCCTGCCAGCAAGGAGTGGCCGTGCTGCAGAAGGAGCTGGAGAAGATCAACATCCCAGACTTCTCAGGAAGCTTCAAGATCAAACATCTCGGGAAAGGACATTATAGCTTCTACAGGTGAGGCCTGTGGAGCTCAATCCTTAGCGTACAGACCTTGTGGTGTCCTGGACCTACCTAAACCACAGAGCCCCAAACTCCTAAACTCAGAGAGGTTAAGGTCCACAAACTAGTGTTGACACCACCCCAAGGGGATATAATCCCCCAAGCTGAGTGTGGAGGAGGCCACAGAAGGTACTCACCATGACTCCCAAGGCAGGGGGAGTGAGTCATGAACCCCCAAACTCTGTGCTAGGCCCATATAACAGTAGGATTGGGAGGGGGCTGTTTTCAAGGACAGGAAGCCTAATCTAAAGTGGCCCAAGCCAGAATTTATTGGCTCACATGTTTGAGACGTCTCTGGAATAGTCTGGCTTCAGGTTCAGCTGAGGTAAGCCCAAATGCCATTGGACCCTCTTTTTGCCTTGCCACTTTTCAGCATCTCTTTCCTTGGGAAGGTCCAGTTCTCAGGTAGGGTGTCCCCTCGAAGATGCAAGATGGCCACCAGCCTTTCCTCAGCACTGAGAATCCTGTGGAGGGAGAGCGCTTTTCCCTTGCAATTCAAGCAAAACCCCTAAGATTCCCTGTGATTGTCCCATCTTTGGTTATGTACACATCCCTGAACCAATCACTGTGGCCAGGGGATACCCCCCACTAACTAGCTTGTGCCTGAGTCTTAAGCTCCACCCCGTGAAGGTGGAGGTGAAGTCAACTTTCTCTGGAGTGACAGAGAGTAGATATGAGGGAGGGTTCCCCCAAAGTAAAAAGGCAGCTCTAGTACCACGAGAAGGGGGTGTGGGTGGTGGGAAGAAAACCCATAAATGTCTTCTACAGAATTTTATACACGTATTCATTCAACAGATATTTTTGAGCACCTACTATGTGTGTGTCACAGCAGGCTTTGCTATAACAGTGAACCGAGAGAGACACATTCCAGCCTTTTATAGAACTTGCAGCCAGTTGAGATTACATGTATTATCCTCATTGATCGTCACACTTCCTGCAAGATGGAGATTATTATGCTCATGTTACAAATGAGAAAACCGAGGCTCAGGATGATTAAGTGACATGCCCAGGGTCACCCAAGAGTACCTTGAAGAACAGGATTCTAATGCAGATTTGTCTGACTTTAAAGCCTAGCTACTCTGCCCAAGGCCCACAGAGTTTCCAAGGCTGCTCTTATAGCTTCTGGGTTCTCCTGGAATGGATGCGGTGCAGCGTTGGGGGTGGGGGTGAGTCTGCACTAACCATTAATTGAGTCCTTGTGTGGACCCCCAGGAGGCTAATGGAGCGTTTCTTCTTCACAGCATGGTTATCCGTGGATTCCAGCTTCCCAGTTCCCAGATAAGACTAGTGCCCAATAAGGGCCTTGATCTCTCCATCAGAAACGCCAACGTGAAGATCAGTGGAAAATGGAAGGCCCGAAAGAAATTCATGTGAGTTTCCAAGCTTGGGGTTTATTGAGTGTGTGGGGTGAGCTCTTGGTGATAATTGGAAGGAGTGAGAGCCAGGATCACAGGAATGCTCAATTTTTGCCTTACCCATCACCACTTGTCCCCACAGGGTTCCTGGGGGCATTTTTCATGTGTGAAGTTTCAACATAGCCTTGATTAATAGCTGAGGATTTGTCTACATCACAATGCAAGACACTGTCAAGAGTTGGTACATGTGGCTTAGGACGGAAGGCTAAGTGGGATCTTTCATTTACGCCTTTATCAGTTGGCTATTGCTGTGTAACAAAACACCCTCAACTCAGCCCCTGAAAACAACAATCATATATTATCACTTTGTATCTATGTGTCAGCTGGAGTTCTGCTGATCTGGGTTGGGCTCAGCCGAGGCAGCTCTGCTCCACATGTATCTCTTTCTCCTCCTCCTTAGACCAGTGGGCTAAGGAGCAAGCATATCCTTGGTGATGGCAGACGTGCAAACAGGGCAACTGGAAACACATAGGTCCCCCTAAGCCTAGACTCAGAACTGGCCTATGGTCAGTTCTACTCATATGCCATTGGCCAAAGTAAGTCGCGTGGCCAAGCCCAAAGTCAAGAGCCTGGAAATGCACACAGCTCCCCGCAAGATAGGCAAAGGGGTGAAACATTGAGGCAAATCGTCCAGACTACAACTCTCAAGCTACATATTGGGTTCCCCACAAGGTGAGCCTGCCCTCTAGTGGTGGTGGCTCAGAATGACCGATCACTTCAGCGACTTCTTGGTGGGGAGTCCAGGGGCAAAATGGAGGGAGGAGAAGGCACTCTGGGGAGAGGGACACGAATCTGCCCTCCTGTACAAGGACTGCAGGGTCTGTCCCTTCCCCACAATAAGAATCGCTTAGTTCTTCACATGGGCTCTTTTGCATCTATCATTTCACTCACTGAGGCGAAAAAATAACAGAACTTCATCATATTGGAGAGTTGGCAAAATACATTTAGGTCCACTATCTTACCCAAACTTGTTTTATTCCTGAAGGAGAAGTTATCAACCCCATTTCACGAATGAGAGCATTAATTAATTAAAGTCCTGGACCCCCAAGCCCCCAGCTTTTTAGGGGCAAAGCCAGTGTTCCACCGCTAGCCAAGGGGCTAGGTGAGGCAACTGGACCTCAGAGCAGTTAAGACATCCAAAGCCACTCAGCAAGGGCAGAGGCAGTGGGTAAGAGCAGCGTTCTGCCAGGCGGACTCGGACCCACACTTCACTCAGTGCTGTGTGACCTTGGGCAGGCTGCTTCCCCTCTCTGAACTCCATCTCAAATAGCAAAACCTACCTGCCAGCGCAAGCTTGCAGTTTGAATGGCAGTGGGGAAGAAAGTGCTTGCTCCAATTCTTTTGTCCGTGTTTCCCTTCAGCAAAATCAAGGGCAACTTTGACCTGGGTGTGGAGGGCATCTCCATTTCGGCTGGTCTGGAGCTGGGCTTTGACCCCGCCTCAGGCCTCCCCACGGCCACCTGTTCCAGCTGCAGCAACCACATCAAAAGTGTCAGCGTGCGCATCTCAGGCGGCAAGCTGGGGTATGATCTCCTGGGACTGTGGGTGGGAGGAGGGACCTCAGGAAGCACCGTCCTAATCATCTCTGTATTCAGAAAACATGCCAAGTGCCCCCTCCTTGCCAGGTCTCGTACAGGGGCCTCAGGTGTAGGGGAGGGACAGGGTCCATGGACAGAGCAGACACCCTCCCTGCCTCAAGGAGTGGAGTCACTTGTTCATCCAACATTCATTCAACAGATTTTACTGAGCATATATGATGCCCCTGGCTCTGGGCTACCCACTTTACGTGCACTAAAACTATACAGTGCTCACCACCAATCCATAGGCATGTATGCATCCACTCAACAAACGTCATCTAAGAATCTGTTGCGCACCAGGCCCGTGCTCAGGAAATAGCAGTGGCCAATTAAAATTCAGCAATAGCTAACAGTGGCATGTGTAGCATTCTTTTAAGCTTGTGAATTGTCTCAACCAATGAACACAATGAAGTTAGTCTATTATTACCCCCATTTTCAGAGGAGAAAACCAAGGCAGAGAGAGAATAGGAACTATCCTGAGTTTTCAAACCCAGTGAGTGTTGAAAAGGGATTCAGCCCAGAACTATCTGGCCGCAGACTCTTAGCCACACAGCCCCTGTTCTCTTGAAGCTTCCTGCCCAGTGGGGAAGATAAACATTAATCAAATCATTGCACTGGTGAATGGCTCACAATGAATTACAAAAGGATATAAGAACTAAGAAAAAGAGGCACAAAGTGCTACGAAGACATAGAACAGGAGGATCTGACCTAGTCTGGAGGCTGGCTGGTTCTTCCTTGATGAAATGACATTTGAATTGAAATGAAAAGAGTAAGTAGGAGTTAATTAGGTGGATGTTGGGGACAGGGGGTGTTTTAAACAGCAGGAACTGCATGTGCAAATACCCTGTGGTGGGAAGCAGCACAGAACACAAGAGGATACGGCAGAACAGTGTGGCTGGAGTGCCAAGAGGGAGAGCAGTAACGAGGAAAGAGGCTGAGACAGGGTGGGGGTCCAGCTATGCGCCAATTGAGGAAATAAACTCATAAACGAGTTACTGCACCCAGAGGGCCAAGTATCTAATGGGGGTGTATGTGTGTGGTTAAAGCCCAGGAACAAGGGTGCTTAGGCTATTTGAAAGGGGAGGAAGGCTTCCCACATGAGGCAGGCTCCCGAATGAAGCTCTGGGACACTTGGGAAGCCTCATACATGTCTCCACATGTCAATCTCCAGGTGGCTGATCCAACTCTTCCACAAAAAAATAGAGTCTTCGTTCCGAAAGACCATGGCCAGCAAGGTAAGACGGGCTCAGAGCGGGGCGGGGGTGGGGGGGAAGGGGGGTCCTCAGTGTATGCATCACTGGATTCTTCGGCTCTCACCCCAGAGGACTGGAAGTTGTCCTCACAGCTCTTTGAAACCACAGGTCCAACTTAGAAACCAGTCATGAGGTGTCCAGCAAGAGCCAAGAAAGGGTCCCAGCACACAGCCTCAGCGGACTCGCCCCACTCCTGCTAGACCACCCCTGCTCTTCCTTCCGCATTCCTCCCTTCAGGCAAACTGCCTTCTCCTGCCTCGCCCTGCCTCCGAAGCCTCTTCTCAAAGTCCTCTGGCCTCCTCCCCCATCCCTGCCACACCCCAAACCCCTCTCTGGGTGCTCCCTACCCGGAAGACAGGAGACGTGCAATTGAGGAAGCTGGTAGGCTAGAGTGCCAGCAAACCACTCCCTAGGGCTGGGACTGGTACCAACCAGCATTCCCAGCCCTGCCCTCACCCTAAATCCACCCAGGCCAGCTTCTTCAGTTGAGAAAAAAGGGGCCATTCCTTGCGCTGGTTTTCCATGAATGAACCATTAGCTCCTAGGAATACCCTGAGCCTGCCTCACAGGCCAAGTGAGTCAAGGGCAATGGGGAGCCATTGAAGATTTTAGGCAAGGGGGTGACCTGGCCAGATCTGTGTTTTAGAGAAATTTCTGGGGTTGCCATGAGAATGACTGGAGGGGCCAAAAGATGGGGCAGGGCGTGTCAGGGAGACTGAGGAAGCTGTATGGTCTTCTGAATGTGAGCCACTGGGTTTCCAGGCAAAGGCAACAACGATGGGGGTAGGGAGACATCAGTCAAATCAAATCATCGGTCTGAAGGCATTCTATCGAAGTCTTAAAACAAAAAAAACAGTGCATGGTTGTCACAATGCATAATAACACAGTAGATTATAGAATGGGTTTTAGAGTCAGAATCTCTGGGTTTTAATTCTGGTCCCAGGGCCTAACTAGCCTTGTAGCTTTGTGCAAATATCAGAACCTCAGTTTTGCCATCTGCAAAATGGGGACGTTAATACCTCTGGCACCAAGCTGCCGGAAGGATTACTGAGGTAACGCAGGTGGTGTGCTCACCCTCCAGCCTGGCTAACCCATGGTTCAACTGTCTTTGCAATTAAGTAATAGTAAGAGGGGAATGTTAGCATTTAGCACTGGAACTATTAAAACAGAGTATTTCTTGGTAACGCCATAAGAGGCCCCCCAAAAGCAGCCAAACTAAAAAGTATGAATGTACTGCTGTCAGATAGCAATGGTGATGGGGAGAAGGTGCAAGAGGGCTCTACGTACACGGGGGGGGGGCTCGGCACGACGCCTAGAACTCTACAAGGATCCCAGCACCTAATCCACATGCAATCCTTATGACCGGTGTTGGGGGGGAGAGTCATGATTTTCCCCAGTAAACTGAGGCACAGAGGGGGAAGTGATAGTACTGAGGTTCAAACCCAGGCCATCCCACCTCAGAGGTGAAGCTCTTAATCATAATAAGATATTCTTTAGAAGACAGTGCTGGCTTGAGTGGCTGGCTGGCTGGCTGGCTGGCTGGCTGGATGGATGGATGGATGGATGGATAAAGGAGATATCAGGGTATCCATGATAGTAGCAAGAACTGGAAGTGAAGAGGAGTGAGCTGGGCAGTTGGCTCCCCAGGAATGCAGAGCGAAGAGTAGGTATCTGAGGGATGCTCCTTGTGTCTGTAGGGGGGGGCTGGAGGGGGAGGGCAGGTAGGATGGAGCACAGAGGGGCTGTAGCGGGAAGACGGGCTCCAGGCTGTGATGTGATTTGCTGTGGTTTGGAGCCATCTGGTGGCCCTCCTGGGTGAGTGGCCTCGGAAGGCGGTAGCCCAGGTGTTCAGCCGGGCCCTAGCTCCCAGATGTGCTGCCCCTGCCCCTGCCCCTGCCCCCACCCCTGGGCCATGTGGCAGAGTCACAGGCTCCTAGAGGATGATATTCTTGGGGCGTGCAGAGTCACACATCTTGTGTGGTAGAAACACTCTGGGAAACCAGTGTTCTCCCTCCTACATTTCTGTCCTTCCTCCCTCCCTCCTCCCTTCCCTCCCTCTCTCCTTCAAAGAAACATTCAAGGAAAGGAAAACATGTCAGGTTCCTTATTCCCAAAGGACAGTTTCCATTAAGGGCAGCCCTCACTGATCACTTCTTTGGTTCTCTCCAGATCTGCCAGATAGTGACCAGTTCTGTGTCCTCCAAGCTGCAGTCTTATTTAAAGACACTTCGAGGTGAGCATTGGATGAGGTCAAGGCAGCTGGGATACAAGGGGCAGGGGGACCGGGAAACAGGGACCGTGTGCTGGAGCCAGCGAGTCTCCCAAACTGCTAGCTGGGTTCTCTCCCTGCGGACTAGGCTGGGCAGCACATGGTGTGAGCACACTGAGCATGTTTAAGATGCCTTCCGTCCCCAGGCACCGCCCCAGCCCCCCCCCCCGCCCCCACGGATTTGCAGGGTCCAAGGTTTGGCCTCAGCAAGCAGGAAAATGATTTGGGTTGGAGTCCCAGCTCCATCACTCACCCGCTGTGCCGTCTTGGACAAGTTACATTTCTGAGCCTCATTTCGTCCCTTCTAACACGGGAAGGAAGGGCTTAAGGAGGGACCCGTATTTATTTAATTCTCGTTGATGACTGCTGAGAAACACAGAAACCATTCGGATCTGAGCCAGCCTGGGCTCAGCCTGGTGTATTATCACTGCTAGTAACAGTCCCTTCGGCTTCTGAGCCCTGACCATGTACAGGGCGTCTGTGGGACCACTAGTATTCGTTCTACCAATGACAAAAAGTGGCTTAGAGACATGAAAGGACTTGTCCAAGATCATAGAGAGTTCAATTCAAGCTCTCTGCTCCTTGACCATATCTCGGGGCTGTTGGAAGAAGGGAAGGAGATGATGTCTGTTTATGTGTGGTGTGGGGTCATTTCCCTCCCTCAGGGAGGGCTCCCTGGAGGAGGTGGGAATGGAGCCCGCACTACAGTTCTTGATTCAAATTTGGCTGATGCCGACACTGCATCTTAGGTCCCAAAAATGCTGCCATGCAGAGCCAACTCATGGTCCATCTTCTTTCCCTCTAGTGACAACCAAAATAGATAAGGTCTCTGGGATCAATTACTCACTGGTGGCAGCTCCGACAGCCACGGCTAACAACCTGGACTGGCAGCTGAAGGTGAGACTTACACTGAGGGACATATACCCTCAGGCCTTTGTCTTGGACCCTCCGGGGCTCCTCCTCATCCTTATCTCTGCACTTTCTCCCTGCTCCAGGCACACTGGCCTCCCACTACTCCTGAACCACCCTATGCATGCTCGCTCCCCAGGACCTTTGCACTTGCTCCTCCTTCTGCCCGGAAGCTCTCACCCAGATATTCACATAAGCTCTCCCTTCCATCTTTCCAGGCTTTACTCAAATCTCCCTCTCCCTAGAGACACCTTCCCAGACCACACTCACTGAAACAGTTCCCTCCTTTCCCTCCATATCCATTACTTATGACTAACAGCCCCCCAACACGCACATGCACACAAACACATATACACACACACAGTCACACGTCTGCCTCCCTCTGTGATGAAAGAGGAGGGGCTACAGCTGCTTCGTTCCTGAGTGCTGGTCAGGAACTCCAGGTGCAGCACCTGGAGCTATGCTTGGTATCTACTTGCTGCTTAGTAAATATTTTGATTGGATGGACAGATGGATGGATGGAT